ACCTTATCACAATTCCTCCCCTCATAAAGAAATTTTTCTTGACTATGCAAGGAAAAATTCTAAATACATTTCACTGCTTTCAAAACACAAGTGGTAACCATTTAAGTGATAATAGAGAAGCCAGTTACATTACCCTGCACTTATTTTTAGCTAACATATATGCAAAAATACAACAAAAATAATTTAAACTACTCCTAATGTCATCCTTATACAAAGCATATTCCTCAAATTTTATACAATGTTAATACTTAAGACAAAACATTTAATTCTAACAATTTTTTTTTGAAAATGAAACACACAATGCAAACAATTTTGAATCTACACAAAGTACCTTTTCAGTTTACAAAATGCTAATACTTAAACATTTGATTCTAACCATTTTGAAAATGAAACACACTATGCAAACAAATTTAAATCTACAAAAATATAATTCCAAAACGCTACAAAAATCATTTTTCAAACAACAGTTTACAGAACAAAAAGGACTGGCTCCTCCATATACTTCATATGCTAAAGTTCCTGCTGTCCATAGATCTGATCTCGAATAATCAATCACTGAGATAGGACACTCTTCAACATTTACAACTATCAAAATCGTAAAAAACAACCTTATATTTAGCGTAGGTATAATGAAACACTCAATCGATTTCGAGGGCAGCTAAAGGTCCCTCCTCATCAGGAGAAAGAAATACATAGAAAGAAGAAAATAGGAATCACAGAAACACGTGGTGCTTATCAGCACTGCACGTGGTTATAACTAGATTTTTAATCAGAGTTGCACTGGCCGCCTGCTTTTACTGAGCCAGGCTGTCTGATCAAGCATAAAGAAATATTAGCGAAGTTAAAATAGGGAGCGAGGGGCAAATGCACATTACGCTCAAAATCTGAACTTCAAATAATGGAAAGCAACCACTGAACGGATTTTTATACCCTCTGGTAGTACCAAGTGCGAGGAGGTAAACGCCATCTATCGGCAAAAATAATTGAATTAAGACAGTAGAATTTTAAAGGCATTAGGAAGGACTGGATTGGACTTCAAATCATTAACTAAACTTTCTAAATCTTTGTGAATGTGAAAAGCCTCAAGAAAATCCAATTCGCCTATGGAAGAAGAAGCCTTTTGCATGATTTTTGCAGACCCAAAATCAAAATTATGGTTAAAAGTCCAGCTATGATACGCTATTGAAGACTTGTTAATTTCCCCTTTTTTGACATAAGATTCATGTTCCTTGATACGAAACTTCAACGCTCTTTTTGTTTGGCCAATATATCTTAAACCACACTGACATGATATACTATAAATTCCCCAAGAATTCAAGACAGAAACGCAATCTTTTAGAATCGAAGGGTGAATTTTATCCAGTCCTTCCTAATGCCTTTAAAATTCTACTGTCTTAATTCAATTATTTTTGCCGATAGATGGCGTTACCTCCTCGCACTTGGTACTACCAGAGGGTATAAAAATCCGTTCAGTGGTTGCTTTCCATTATTTGAAGTTCAGATTTTGAGCGTAATGTGCATTTGCCCCTCGCTCCCTATTTTAACTTCGCTAATATTTCTTTATGCTTGATCAGACAGCCTGGCTCAGTAAAAGCAGGCGGCCAGTGCAACTCTGATTAAAAATCTAGTTATAACCACGTGCAGTGCTGATAAGCACCACGTGTTTCTGTGATTCCTATTTTCTTCTTTCTATGTATTTCTTTCTCCTGATGAGGAGGGACCTTTAGCTGCCCTCGAAATCGATTGAGTGTTTCATTATACCTACGCTAAATATAAGGTTGTTTTTTACGATTTTGATTGTCACATTAGCGTGTTCTCTTCTAGTCTATTTACAACTATATTTGAATGAGGTCCCAATTTCTTTTTCCGGACTTTATGATTTGTCAGTTCATCCAAAGAAAACTCACCAATGGCTGGTAATGTCTCCTTATACATTGCACGCCATATAGCATATGCATTTGATTCAGCATTATAATTGAACATCATTTTTACAGCAAGGTTATTTGGAAGCACTTTCTCAGAAGAAAACGTCTTGATAGAAGTGGGTTTTTTCGAATATCGAATTCTGCAGATCTTGTGTTCCTTCAGTATGCGATATAATAAATTTTGTTTGGTGTTGAACATTATCATGAGTTTCTGTTGCTTGTGCTTCCGAGAATTCTGCTGGCAGAACATCCGCAAGGATAGCCCTTTCCTCTAAACTGATGTCTGGAATTTTAATGTCCTCCTCCGTATTACTGGTTAACTTCCTTTCTTCTGAATGCTCATTATTGATGGCCCTTTCACTTTCTATCTCTTTCTTTTCTTCCGATCTGGAATCTAAGTCTTTTGCAACTCGCTCTCTCTAAACTCCTGCGCGCATGCGCCTGACTACGAGTCTCCACAGCATTCAAGAGAACCGGTCGTTCCCTAATTTCCTCAATCAACTGTGCAGTTTTATTCCCTAACAAATAGTACTCTTTATCTAACTCTACCGGAGTAATAACTGCCTTTGTGGTGACCACACCAAAATCACCTTCAATGGTGACTTTCGCCAAAGGTAAACATTTACATTCTGTGTCCAAAGGCTGTTTCACCCATACAGTTTCCCCTAATAAGTCACTAGTATTAATCCAAGTACTATTACACAGATCTATACCAGCTCCAGTATCTCTCAGATATTCTCTCTCTATCCCATTAATTACTGCTTTCTTGAAATACGGCTCAAAACATTTTCCTAAACTCTCCGTTCCTAGATTATTCACCAGATTAGCCTTATTCTTTTTCAGCGATGGACAATTGGTCGGATATGTCCGTCCTTTCCACATTGGTAACACTTATTTTCCGCTGTTTCTGGAAAATGGAAACCTGCTTCATTGAAAACTTGCTTTTTTTAGGAGCCTCCACTTTTCTATGCTGCTCTGATTTAATTCTTTGATGACCACTACTTTTCTGATTATAACTACAGTTAGAATTTACATACCGCTCTCTATCTTTCTCAAATGGTTTCTTTAACCCCGCTCTCTGTTCTAACTTCCTCGTTTCTCTTCGCAAAGCCTCATACTTATCGCATTTCTCTGATAAAATGGAAGCTGTTTTAAATTCTTCCCAATTGTCTAAGTAGTGCTCTCTTATTTCTAGAGGGACTCTCCGCTTAATTTGCTCAGTGAGCATAAGTTCCTTAAGACTTTCAAAATCTTGAACTTCTACTGAATCCAACCAATTCTCTAAATACACTCTCAATTCATACACTAAATGCACCCATAACATTCCATTTTTTCTAGAATGTTCTTCAAATTTTGTTTTTAGTGCCCAAGAACTAAGCTTGAATCTTTGCATGAGTAATTTCTTAACATGCTGATAATCATCCCCTTTATCCGCTGGTTCTTTCACTATTAACTGGGCTACATCGTAAGGTAATAAAGGAATTAATTGTAAGACAGAATCAATCTCATTAACGTTCTCTTTTTGAGCTTGTTTCTCAAATAGCATAAAGAATAATGAAATATCTATATTACTCGGTTCAAAACGCGGTACTAGATATTTCAAATTAACCTTTTTTTTTTTCTCTAGGTTGCTTCAACTGTCGAAACCGTGGAAGCTAAGGCTATTAGTCTGAACCACATTCATCAGTTTTAACTAGTTTCCAATTCAAAAACTCGCTCCCGCTTCCCGTTCCCGTTCTGCTCTCTGTTCTTTCCATTCCCGTTGTGCTCTCGTCGCGTTCACGTTCAAATTCGCGCTGTGCTCCCTCTTTTTTCGGCTATTTCTTCTGCTTTTCTCTGCTCAACCGCAGCCCAAATTCTCGCCGCGTATTCTTTCGCAGCTTCTTCTTCATAGTCTTCGGCATTTAGAATAGCCTACCTAATTTCTCTTACTCTATTTGCCTGAGACACATTTGTTTCAAACTCCTCCGCTAACTCCAATAGCAGAGCTTTAGTAAATTTCCTCATAAACTCACCCATTATGGAAAATTAAAGAAAAATAACCTACCCGGGATACAATAACACAAAAACAACAACAACAGGTCTATCTCTCCAAAACTGAATAATTCCCTAACAATTCTAAGCACAAATTGCCTTACAACACTTAATGATAATACCTATGCCTACAAACAAAGCGATATAAAAAATGCTAATTAAGAGGCAACCTTTTCCTGCTCTATATCCAAAATAAGCCTAGTCTCGAATAACTGGCATATCCTCTCCAAAATCACAAAAATGGTACTCACCAACTTTGAAGACGCCTTCGATTGACTCTCCTGGCACTACTTGGATATTCTTCCGGGAAATTTCACTATTTTGCGGCACTAGATCACGCTTCCTCCGGCGTTCCCTTCTGACACACTGTCACTTGTCACTGAAGAGGCTTCACCACGCGAACTGTCCTTGCACGCAAAATTAGATCGTTCTTGAAGAGAAGAAAGTCTTGACTGTTTATATAAAACTCAAGTTCACAGGCGAAAAAGTCCGTTCCTAAATTTACTCTCAGGAACAATCCCTAAAAGCTGCCACCAACTTTTAATATTTCCTGCTGTGGTGTAGTGGCCGAAACCGCTATGCTAACCCTGGGTTGTGACATGAGGTTCAAAACAAAACACAGCATAAAATTTTATTGAACGAAAAAAAAAAAAAAAAATGGCTACATACAATTCTGCAGAGAAAAACCTATCTATTTCAAAAAATCAAATTCTATACATTTTACGTGCGAGAGCAATTCGTGGCTCTCGAGCTTGCGTTTTTAACATTGCCAAAGATTTAATTATTTTAATAAAGACTATTTTAACAACTATTGAAAACGTGTTTGTAAGTTAAAAAATAATAATTTTCAGCTTATTCTCACGAGACATCCTTGTCCATATTAATCTTCAGTCTCTTCTTCTTTTATGTGACCTTATCACATCATCTTAAACTTCGGTTAGTATAGTAATTTTGCGGCTTACTGAGATCCCAATTAGCATACTTATTTACAAGCTTAATAATTTCAGTCGTAAGAATACTAACACATCGTTGTATACTTACTTGATTAACTATTAGATCTTTCTCTGTGTCGCTGCTGGTTGTACTAGTAAATGACTCAGTGGATGACCGTCTTTGGCGCTGCGTTCCAAAATTAGTGGTGGGCAGGGGCTTGAAGATGTTTTGATTGCCATCGGAGAGTGTGAGAAGAGGGCGCAGAGGAGTGCCAACTGGTGTACTAGGAGTTGATGCAACTGGAGAAGAATTAGTAGCGCTTCTACAAGGAAAGAAAATTCGTATAAGCTTTTATTCATTGAAAAACCAACTTGCTATCACTTATTAAAACTGAGTTAAGTTTATATTCTGATCTTACTGCAAAGCACACGTTAAGATTAACTACTCTCAGTTGCTTCGGAACACCAGATTTTTTTTTCTTTTATATTTTTCTTCTGTTTTTAATTTATGCTCGAAATACTGCTTATTTTATGAAATTAATTTATATTTCTTAAAACTTTCATTTGCAAAACAATAATTGCTCTCTTCACAATCACATAAACTGTAATTAGCAGTTTCAAGAACTAACTTTTACCCCCTTTTTCTATGTTTATTGTACAAGTATCTTATATTTATTGTGGCAGGTATTTCGTGTGCTCGTTTACATGTGTATTGAAGGATTAGTTTGCAGTTTCGGTTTAATCTGCCTGACAAAAAATTCTTTTAATTTTTAATTTTTAACAATTTAAGGTTTTTGAAGCTGTTTTCTTACAATTTCAGTTCTTTTAACAATTTTAATATACCCACTCCAGTCTGCAGGGGTTGGACTGATAAAGACAAACTTCTGTGATTAATTTTCTACGGTTTTTTGAAGTATCAAATACTGAATTATAATTTTTGTCATTCAGGAAACGGGCTGATCCATTTACTTTTATCATTGCACCAACTGCTTTCATTTGCGGCACACACAGTTTCTACTTCCTTGTACGAAGTAAAAAGGAAGTATTGTAATCGCGAAAAGTTTCAGGCAGCATATTTCAACGAAAATATCCATTTTGACCGCTATCGAATGCAACTTAACGAAGTTTTTGCGTGATATCTGTACGTAAGGACAGAATAAAATACTCTCTTCCTTCAAAAAAGTATAAAACTGCTTTAAAATTAATTCTGAAGAGAATTTTTCGTGGCGTCTGTACGAACGTATGTACGTACGTGCGTGCGTACGTACGTATCTCGCATAACTCAAAAACGAGTAGCCTCAGAACGTGGAAATTTTGTATATAGGACTGCTATATCATGTAGATGTGCACCTCGTGTTTTGGTTGCAATCGGCCGCACCAAACGTATATAAATATATTTATAGATGTATCCATTCTATTAACACGGTTCAATGATCTCAGTTTCTTTACTCTTATATGTTTGTAAATTGTACATTTTTTGCTTTAAAAATGATTGAATTATGTTGTTTTTATCTTCCGGTTAAGGATTTTATGCCTTTAGTAAATCTGTGTGTGCAATATTTTTAGAATTATCAGCAATTTTAAAGTTGTTTAATTGCCGCTAAGCCTGTTTTTTAATGGCGGTCATTAATGTTTACATTTGAAACAGGAGACTAGTGGATTTGTTTGCCAATCTAGAGAAACTTAGCTTCGGAACAACAAAGATAACGCATTTCATTTATTATTGCCAATTAAATCATGCTTAATTCTTTTCTGGAATTTTTTCGAGGAAATAAGCGTTTGCGATTTACTTCGTAATTTTTAATATAGATATTTTGAGTTTTTATGTATTTTTGCCTTCTCGCGAAGTGAGAACTGAATTAATTGAATAAGAAATACTCAATCGTCTGTGAAAAACTGTTTCTTTTTTTGTTTTGTTTGCTTAATTTCTTTTATACATAATTCTAGCTTTATTATAGTATTTGAATAGAACATGTGGCAACGATTAGAAAAATCTTTAAATGATATACATTTTGTGCATTCTGAGTTATAATATGAATGAAATATAATATGTTAAGTGAACCTAGCGGCAGAGTGTCGCTATGGTAAACAAAGTGAATTTTAAAGAATGCATTTATTCTATTGTGGTTTATGCGCTGTCGGCGAAGTAGGTTTAATTCAATTTAATAAGTTTAAATAAAATGCAAGAAAAAATGCGTATAATTTAATATTAAGTACAAGGACATGTGGTGTACACATCAGATTTTTTCACTTTATCTTCCAATCTGTCTGGAGTGAGTTCAGGAGTGAGTTATCTATTTATTTTAACTAATAGTTAATTTTTAGTTAATTTTAATTTTAGAGCGTGTTCTGCCTACTCGAGGGCACGTTGTACCGTGACTTATTAGTGATTTGATTCTGTAGCGTTGATTACTTCTTGCCATAAAGCTTGTCTCGCCAGTTTTCTACAAACCAGAGCCTTTTCTGCGTGTTACTTTATCCTGTGAGCTATTAGGCTAATTTATTGCATCTGATTTAGTTCAACATTACGTATATAAGTTAAGCAGGTTAATTTGGCTTGCGTAAATCCAAGTTGGATCATTGTTAGTCCTGTGTATTCAAATAAAAGCGTCTTATACACCCTTCTTCTGACTTTTGTTTTGTTTCACAAGACTAGAAGACTTCTATATTTACTAGAAGACTTCTATATTTTTAAAGTCGACATTGTACTAAGAAAAGACTTAACAAACTGCCCAATTGCTATTGTTTATTCGAGGGGTTACTGTTCAGTTTGCAATGACTGAAGAATTAGCTTATGAATAGTGCAAATAGAACAACTACAGGCGAAGTATTTTTAATGAAGTTGAGAAAACGTTAACAATTTGCAATGGAAGCAGTTAAAATGTGTCTGAACTGATGGTGTGACAGATCAGTTAAAATGTGTCACAACTTAAAAAGATACTTCCTTTACTTCGTACAAGGAGGCAAACAGGGAATTTTTGTAAAGTTTGCAGTAATACAAGTTGCGTCAGTATTAATTGATAAACTGAGGTCATTTATAGTACAACTGCAACATCAAATAGCTATTTTTGGGGTTCCATAAACTATTTAATTAAAGTGTTGGGAACGTCATTTAGCTTGCGATATTTAAAGCGAAGAATTATTGAAATTTAAACTGAATTTTCTGCTCTTGTTGCTTTGCAATGAAGGAATTCAGAAGTGAAGAACTATATTAAATTTTGCAATTTTTATACCGCCCCCATCTTTGTTCGGAATTTATCTCAAAGTGAACCAAGTACAGTGGAAGTCAGCACATTCTTTTCATCACTATGTCATTATTTTCATTGATGCATTGTTTCTGTGAAAGGAACACTGCCACTACAAGCTATAAAAGTTAAAAGTAAGAAGAATGGAAAATGAGGCCAAAAATTTATATATCATTGAAGTATTTTGTTTTTAATTGCTACATAAAAGAAAAAATAATTATATTGGCAGCATTTCCTTTAACATAAATTAAAAATTTACATAAAATTTAAATTTTTCGCAGTCGCAAGAAAAGCTCAGGCGATCTAAATAAAGAATTTTAGACGCAATGAAACGTTTTGCGTTGACAAAGAACTCGATTTTAGACAACGAAGACTTTTTTCTTTGAATGACCTATTTTAAAATCAGAAAGGGGAATCTAAACAGAATCCAGAAAATTCAAGTGAAGGTGATTCATTGAGTAATGGCAGCAAGCCAAAGGCGAACAAATAGACCCTTACTTCGAAAACTTAATCCAACTTTCACTTCTGAGAATTAAAGAAAGATCATATCTTTAAGAGTATATTTGTTGAATTCAGCAAATTATATAATAAAAGATAAGTAAATAAAAGAATGTTACATATGTTTACATTAAAAGTGCCCAAAAAATTCGGTTAAAAACATGTACTATTATTGATTTAAGATTGTTCAAAAATAAGAAAATAAAAATGATTTTTCGAATTTCTTAACTCAGATTGAAAAATATAGGATCAAATAATACAAATAGGACTGATAGCAAATACGTAATCATTTTCATACACATGTCGGTGCCGTAATGATACTGACAGGAACAGCGAGTCAAAAAAAAAAAAAAAAAAAAAAAAAAGTGGGGGGGGGGAGACAGCGAGGGAAACAAACAAAAAAAAGACAGCGAGTCAAACAAAAAATCTTATCTTTGTTCTACTGGGCTGATTGATGAATTTTTAGGATATAAACATTGTTCTAACATAGGTATTTGGGCACAAAATCCAACTTCTTTGAAATGGCGTACCATTTTTTTTCTGTCATTCGATTCTGCTATCAAATTATGCCTAAATACCAGATTTCTGCGAGAAACTTATGGAAAAAAATCGTGAATTTAGCTTAGTGCTCTTTTTTTACTTTGTGCCAAGAATAATGCACTTGGCGAACTTCTCAGTTTATGGTAATCTACTATACTAGTATTTCACTTTCCCTTTCATTCTACACGAGCGGAAAAATGGCGTCATTTTTCCTTTTCTGCAAATATTCGTCTTTATGCTATACGTTTTAATCACAGTTGCTATTTTTACATATTATTTTTCTTTTCATAATTTCATTTTTAATTGAGTTGCATGGTAAAATTACATATTTTTAAAATTTCCATTTATTCATTCGAACAGTTTGCTTTAAGTATATTTATTAATATACTTAGAGAATTTTATTTTATTTATTTGAATTGCATTTCTTTCGAAAGAATACTTTGTGACCCATAATAAGTGGCGATGCATTTGCATACTGCATGTATTAAAATAGAAAATGCAGTAAAGCAGTTAATCAGTTAAGTTTTAAATAACTGAAAAAATCACCAAATAGCATCAAGGTTGGTTACGTAAATACGTAAGTACAGTTTTTCTTCAATGTAATGTCATGAGGATGGGGTCAGAATTAAACTCGCATTTACATGTAAGACCACCCACTTTATGCTCGAAGTCAATCCTTAATGGGGGAGGGTAATAAAATTATACAGCATAAAAATTATTTACATATATATTGATATTGAACATAAGGATTTTAGTTTATAAATGACGCAATTAAAAATAACAAAGAAAATATAAAAATTCATGATAGGTTAAATACAGAAATAATTTCAGGTGCTTGTACGCATACGTGTTCTTATAAAAATCAAAATCAAATCCTGTACGCTCTGTAAACATATTTATTTACGTATAAAGTTAAGCAATAAATATGTAGGCTTGTTTTGTACGTATCAGAGCCATTTTTATCCATTTCAATAACTTTAATTTTTTTGTAAAAGTTTATTTTATACATTTCAGTCAATGACCTATATGAGAAAAAATCT